GCTGAAAATAAAGAACTGCACAATTTTTATACTGGTTTAAATATGATCCAACTACCTATAAAATGGGAAAGACAACAGAACATGCCATTCATTTCAAATGGCTACAGGAAAATTATTCCTGGCTACAGGAATCATGTAGAGCATAAATTTATTCAAAGAATCATAAGAGGTCACTTAAAAGGTTTGTGTTGCACTTTTTTATATAAAAAAAGAAAAGTAGTTTATCATGATTGATGTGTAAAAGCAATAAAAGGAGTAAAACATCCAAAGAAGTGAATACTGTTAATAAGCAGTCAGTATGTCCTGTGTTCAGGTTTGCTTGTTTCTCACCTGTTTTGGTTTCGCTGCTGCAGTAAAGAACGTCTTCAGGGACAGTGAAACTCACACACATCATGTCCTTGTTTGGCGCCACGTTACGCACAAAATGCACGGAGCACTCGTTCTCCAGAGGGAACCCGAGGCTGCGGGACGCCCTCTGCACCACGTCCGCCTCCGGGTCGTCATGCTTGGAGAAACCGTAGCAGTGCACTGTGGGAAGGTTCTGGTCGCAGGTCGGCTCTGGCTGCAGGAGGCCCCGGAAAGCGTCCAGAAACTCCAGCGCCAGCGCGGGCAGGTTCATGACCACATGGACCGCAGATTCCCCCTTCAGCAGAGCGGGCAGCTCCCGCCTCAGAGGCCCGCGGATGAAGTCTCTGCCGTCCAGATTGAAGGTTTGGACTTTGCTCTCCACCTTGTTGAGTTTGCAGTTGTGTTGCAGCCATTTGTACGACTCTGGGTTGAGATCATTGGCCAGAACTTTGGCGCCGAGGCGGGCGGCCGGGATGGCGAAGGGTCCGACCCCGGCGAAGACGTCGAACACGGCGTCGCCACGTTTAACCAGCTGCACCACTCTTTGGTGCTCTGTGCTCAGCCGGGGGTTCCAGTAAACGCGAGAAAAGTCAAACTCGTACGTCACGCCGTTTTCCTTCACCTGCGAGAACAGAAGATGAGGAGCGAGAGCGAGATGCATAACTTCTAAAATAGAAAAATGAAATATTAATTCAGATTATTCAGAGAGTTACTGCAGGTAGTTGTAGCAGTAAAGACAGAAGGCAGTTATTTTCTAATTGTTTACATCGTAGAGATTATTTTTCAGCAAATTATTTCATTTATCAAAGTTGCAGTTGTAGCTTTTATAAAATGTTTTTTACATATTTGTTGAAGCATGTGACAGTTTAAAGATAACCTGAAATAATCAATCTCCTCCACCTTCTACATGAGCTACTGGTGCCGTCCTGAGAAACACACCACCAAAACAACCAATCAGAGCCAGGAGGCGGGTCTTAGCGCTGTCAAACATCCACAAGTACTCACTGCAAAATGTGCTAAACAACTTAGTGTTACAGGAAAACCGTTTGTCCGCCATCACCGGTAGCCATGCAAACTAGCTTTAGCACTAGTTAGCATTTGCTAACTCACTGTAATGTGGCAGAGAACAAAAGGGGAAGAAGGAGGTGGGATGAGCAGCGCCACACAAGATTGTGATTGACAGCGCTAAGACCCGCCTCCTGGTTCTGATTGGTTGTTTCTGTTTTGCACTGGGAGAAGACAGAGGAGCTTAATTTTTCTCACAGAGTTTCTTTTAAAACATGTTGACAATTTCAACCAATATGTAAAAAAAATACTTTTTATAAAACGTACTGCAGCTTTAAGGGAATAAAGTCGGTATGGGTGATATGGCATGAAAATTAAATCTGATTATTTTTTCATATCAGATCCAATTTCTGATTTAATTATTTTTTTTAAATCGAGATTGATCACATATTGTGTGAGTTCTGTAAATATGTTGCTGAACTGTTAGAATTACATCAGTTTGTCCTGTGAAGTGATGTTATTGGTGATAAATAAATGGACTGAACATAAATAAACCTGGCAGGCTGATTGATCTATGTGGGAATGAGCCATATAAAATAACAGCACATACTTTGGCGACCATGTTTTCCTCTCCAGCCAGAACCTCCATGTTGAAGTTGCGGTACGTTGAGTCGATGATGTTCGTCTTGTTGACCACACATGTGACTCCTGGGTTTTTGTCCATAATGACTTGACCTACAGAAGGAAGAGCAGAAAATCTGAACTTTGCCAATCATATACAGCAGATGTCCATATCTGTTAGCTAAAAAAAGTTTTAAAGTTTTTTAAAAAATTTATCAAAGCATTAATTAATTTCACAGAAATACTTAAAAATTCTGTTAATTCACTTAGAAAAACTCAAACAGTACTGTTCTAGTTCTTTTAAGCACTAATTATTTTTCTGCCTCAGTTAATTAATATGTTCTCTTGTCTTTCTTATTTTGAACAGCTGCAATTCTATTGATTATTCTGACAATCGATTTATCAGATAAAAAATGGCCACATTCTAGAGATTTTTCATTGTTTTTTTCCATACTGATAGAAATCCTTTAAAAGATCCAAATAAATAATTCAGTTCCTTTTTTAAATAAGAAAATAAAATTGCCTAAAATACATAAATATAGAATTTCTTTAGTGAACATTTGATTATTTGTAACAGCAGATGCAGATAAAATGTTGTTTTGTTTATTTCTTTTGGATATTAAAATGTCTTTCAGTTCCAGTGTTAAATGTTTATTAGAATTTTAAGTTTATTGATCTTTGAGAATCTGTTCTTGCATTAAAACGTTACTTAAAAATTGCCTCAAAACAACAATATTATCGTTGATCGCAATAACTTCTGGGACAATTTATCGTACAGCTAAATTTGTCATTTTGACATGCTCAGTTGGTCTAGTTACTTGGAAATTAGTTACTATTACTGATTACTTCCATAAGAAAGTTACTTTACTTATTTTCAAAAGTCATTTGTTACTTGAATACGCAATAAATCAAATTCTTTCTGCATATTCTGTTGTATAAAATTTAATTTAATCTTTGTAAAACTTGATTCGTTTTGCTCTTCTATCTTTATGCACTAAATGAAATGCAGGTCTCGCTTTTTATCATCGTGATCATTTTTCCAGTCACATCCTACCGATGAGGTTCTTGTACGGCAGCTGGTGGTCTCTCAGGTTCATGTGGGCGATGTGTCCCACTCGGCTGAACGATGATGTCACATCCTGTCCCTGAGGCAGCACCGCCTCCAGCACCTCCTCCGTCTTCAGATTGTCGTAGGTCAGCGTCAGGTCGTATTGTCGCAGCTCATCGGAGACACCGAACGACCTGAGCGCCTCCGCTTCAGCCTCACTGAACGAACTCGCCGATGACACCCTGTGTGGGTCCAGAAGGACCAACCGGACACTGCTGCTCTCCTCGCTGCCTGGAACCACCCGATGCACACCGGGGCGCTGGAGAGTGGACTTCTTCAGGCTCTTCACGACTTTGTTTAGGACCCTGGTTGGTACCTGCAGAGCTGGAACTGTGATGGTTTGTGTGAAGGCGTCTTTGTCCAGAGAGGTCATGCCCCGGACCTCAGGAGGGAGTCGGTACAGTTTGGGGTCCATCACGATCCGCCCGACGGACCCGGAACAGACCGAGTCTGAAAAGAGGAAACTCTGGAGTACAGCAGCAGAACCGAGTTTTGTTTGAGTTTGAACCGATTCAAAAGTTCTGGATACGAATCTGTTGAGATGCAAAGCGAAAATGGAGACAAAAATCTGATGAAATGTATGAAAAATACAACCACACAAAAGCAAACAAGATGCTTCTTCTCATATTTGCTCAGACTGTGTCAGAAATAGACCCTTCTTCAATCATTTTCTGATGCTGATGAGTTTAAAGACAAAATATGTCCTTATCTGTATAAACCATAACTTTACAAGATGCTCCACATTCCTCAATTTAATATCTTTGGTATTTTTGAGTAGCAGTTGTCATGAAATTACCACATTATTCTCCATTTTAATGCTTCATTATTGTATTATTTTAAGTTTATAATCTTAGCAAGTCCAAATAAATAAAAGATGGCCGCCTTCCATGATAAACTAACCCCAGGTGTGTTAAAATCAGATTTAAAAATAAAAAATCAAAAATGACCCATTTAATTTAATCTGTAAAACTAATTTAACACACAGCCCTAAAGCATCCAATTACCAAACCAAACAAAAATGCCTGTTTGTCAAAATAAAATCACACACAACCTGATATTGCTATTGCATATATTGTATTGCTATTTTCTTTTATTATTAAAACATGTTTTTGATGTGTTTTCTACAGTTTATGTTTTATTTGTAAGTGTTTTAGAAACATCTTACAACTTCTTAATGTTTAATTTGATCTCACAAACTCTCTGATAATGTAAAAATATAAAATTATGCATTTAATAATACAAATGTAGGCTATTTAAAAGCTTTGCATGAAGCTCTATAACCCATTAACTGGGTTAAAATCCAGCCCAGTCTCCTCTACACAGGAATTTATTATCATGAGGTTTATTATAGAAATATTCAGATGTAACAGCAGCAAGTCAAAGTGAAAGCTCGTATAAATGTTATTTATGGTTTAATGGATATCTGTCATTATAGAACATAATTCAATTCTGCTGTAAAACTGATGGAAGGAGACACGTTTAGCTGTTTATCTCGACACAAACCTGGGAGTAAATGGCATTTAAACCGCTCTGTAACGCTGCTTCTGATACAACACAACCTCTAAGCGACATGTCTTAATGGCGGCTCTTATAATGACATGATTTTAATTTCAAAAAGTCGAATATTTATCGTTTAAAGTTAAAAGTCAGCAGAAATAAAATCCTCACCTCAACATCCTCTGTTCAAAGGCGCGCTTTTATTACGTCATCCGCACTCGAGGAGAGCTGCCAGGGGATTGGTCAAGAACTCTACAACTCGTCGTGTGATTGGTCAGTTTGTGACATCATACCTTGAATCGGAGACATCATACCTTCCGGAGCAGGAAGTAAGCGGATAAAGGGAAAACTATCTCAAACTGAGAAAGTCTGGTCAAATAAAGAAAATATAGGACGTTTTTAACTAGTTTTTAAAAACGAAGCTGAAGCATGATAGAGGAGGCAGCAGTACTGCAACACTTTGGATTCAAGCTTCCGTTAAAAACTAAAGAAGATTAATTAAATGGATCAGCTGACAAGCTGAGCAAACTTCTGGAGACGATGAGCTCAAAATCAGGCAGCGTAAAATCAGAATGAGCATCAACAGCAGCGAACAGGCGGATGTTTACACCAGGCTCTCCGAAAGAGACTCCGATCTGAGCGAGAATGTCCCTCTGTTGGGAAATGTGAGTATTTAATTAGCTCGTCTATTACAGGTAAAAACTGAATTTATCAGTCAGAAACTTCTTTGACTCCGTGTTTATGGTCAAAATCACATGAGCTGGACTTCACTTTTTCAGTTTCAAAGTTTTCTGCTTCTGTCAGCATTCAGAGAGCAAATGTTTAGACCAACTTCTGCTTTTATTGTTGTTTGCAAAAGTCTAATTTTACACTAATTTTTACTTGAATAGACACACTTATGTTTTACATAGTTTGATCTGATTGTCTTAATGTTTTTTCCACTTCACTATTTGTCTTTTTATGTAAAATATGTCAAAATTAAATTAGTCCCCCAAAATGAGAGTCAAGTAGCTCAAATTTAACAGTTTTTGCTGGAGAAAAAGTTAAGAATTATCACCCAAGAAATTACTGAAGTAAACATAAACCACATAAATTTTTTTTTAAAAAGAACAAAAAAAAAATAGCTGCTCAAGTACTAAGTACTAAGTAACTGATCATAATATCTTATTTAAATTTAACAATAGTGGAATCTGAAAGAGAAATATGCAAGTTATGATTAATTCTGATTTTTTAAACACTGACATAAAAAATAATAGAAATTAGTAACACAATCACAGGCAGAAGAAACTTATTTCACAGCAATTCGCCTAAATGTAAAATACTGATAAAATACTACCTAATGTGATACACATTAGGTAGTATTTATATGTTAGAACATAGAAACAGGTACTTTTGGTGAGAGTAGTATTTACTGTATCTTCTTATTAGAAAATAAAAAACAACAGAAATTGTGTACAAACAAAAAGTCCCCCTTTAATATAAAATATGGCTTTGTGTCTGGTGAATATTTGGTTAAAACAAGCTTATTTTTCATTCAGTAAATTTACTCTCAGTGGGCAGATGATCCCAAAAATTTACCAAACTTCACCTAAAAGTAAAGTTTTCTAAAATGTTGCTGAAGTAAATGTCAGGGCTGTTGCTGCTGAAATTTAAAACAATTCTTTGATAAAAATGTTAAAATACAAATTGTTTTGGAAATGGATGCTAGCCAATACACTTCAAATTAAAATAATTAATCTGAATCAGGTATACATATATTTTTTAAATTAATTGCTGCAAATTGTTCTGTATATTTACAAAATGTAAATATTGTAGACTTTTCTTAAAGCCACAAACAGAATGAAGAACCAATCAAATATTCAGGGACTGTATTTTAAAACACGTCTCAACCAGCGTTTATTTAAATAATCTTTGCAATGACCCAGTTCCTCTGTTCACTTCAGAATCTGGGTCAATAAAATCTCTTATCAGGCATGGGGGACGAGGATAAGGGTTTGAAAAGTTCACTAGACCAGATTTTTTCCAATAACCACAGTCTTATAAGTTTTGCTGTGTTTCACCTCTGTATCTGTGTTGTGAGCTTGTTCCAAACATACCATTCTGCACATTAATTTTCAGTATTTGCTTGATTGAAATCTGCAGAACTTTTCACTCTGCAGCCGGTCTGTATTCACCGTCATCTGGTTTCTGCACTGCAATAACACAAAATCTTATCAAGTGTTTTTAGTGTAAATATCTTAGTGTATTTTAAATAAGACAAAACTAACTTATAAGTAACTTTTAAATAAGATATAAAAGCTTGTTTTAAGTTAATAATTACTTAATCTTGACAATAAAAATAACTTTTTCCACTGACAGACAGAGCAAAGGGGTAAGCAACCTGCACACGTACTGATTGACAGCGCTAAGACTCTGATGGCACTGGAAAAGACAGAGGAGTTTCATTTTTACTTATTTATTTTCAGATTATCAGTTTTATATTATACTGTCACAACATGGTGACAATTTCAACAAGTGCGTAAAAAATATATTTTTAATAAAGTTACAAACTTCAGCTTTGAGAAAATGCTGTCTTAAAATAACGCCCTGTCTTGCTGAAAAGTTATTTGTAATCTAGTTTTGTCAGTGTAGTGAGATATTTACACTAGAAACCAGACTAAAAATACCTGGTACTTCCTGTCTTCCAGTACTGTAAGGGGTGAGTCCGACCGCTCGGCTGCAGGTCAATCCGAGCTTGTTGTGACACCGACACCAGAGTTGCCACTTGTTCTGTCCAGGATATCCCCCATTAGAGAGGTCAAGCAGTTTGGGCAGCGCCCCTTATCCTGAGCTCAGGCAGCTGTCCTGCAGCCAGCAGCTCAAATCCCACCCGTTCATTCCCGTTTCCATCCGCTGATCCTGCAGGCCCCTGCGGTGTTGTTTTATGACATCCATCATCAGGCCCGGCCAGTTGTTGCTCCTAATGTCAGGAGGAATCAGCAGGTTTCCTTCTCAGCTGTGTGTCTTTATTCCTGTGGTTTTACTTGGGGGTTTTTTCTGTGCAGGAATTGGCGCAGACCAGAGCCACTGGAGCCTCCTTCACCTCCTCTGTGTTCAACTTGATGAACGCCATCATGGGCAGTGGGATTCTGGGTCTGGCTTATGCCATGGCCAGCACAGGGATAGTAGGCTTTTGGTAAGAGGCTCCTTTCACCACTCCCTTCTTTCTTTTAATTCTTAGTACTTAGTTCTTTCCCTTTGTTCCCAGTATCCTGTTAGTACTGGTATCCAGCCTTGCATCATATTCCATCCATCTGCTTCTGACGCTTTGTGACCAAACAGGTGAGAATAAAACTACTTGAACTTAAAGGTGACCTACCCTCAAATAGGTTGAGATAGCTTTAAGGATTAGAAAATTTGATTTTAGTCTGCTTTAGGGGCACTCAAAATGTTGTTGCAACTCATATTAATTCAACTTTCTTCAAACAGTGTAGATGGTGATAGCTGCGGGCAGGATAGATCTCCTGTAGTGGTCTGTATTACAGCTAATTTGAAGAAGCCTCTGATTGAAGACATTTTGTTTTTCCGAGGCAATCTCATAAAGAGGATAGTCAGGGTTGTCCATAATTATCTTGATTTTTAAATACGATTCTTCTGTGCATCATTATATCCAGAACATGTGCAATTATATAACACTACAGTCTTTGAAAAGTATTAGTAGAGCTTCCCGCACAACCAGGAAGAAGTGGTTTCAATCTCAGTTGATGTTTAATTTGACATTAATAAAGTATTTATGAATTAAAACCAGCTGACCAAACGTGCTGGAACTGAGCTTGGGTTGCTAGGTGATGAGCGGAACTCCACTGGGGTTGCTAGGTAACCACCAGTGGCTGCTGATTTGTAACGTTACACTCCGGAGGTTTTTAAACGGCTCATTTTCCAAACATTAAAAACAATTTGGTGGGGGTTTTCTTTTTAGAAGCAGTAGAAACCTAAATTAAAGTACAAAATTGTGCAAAATGTGAATTTTCCATAATACGTCCCCTTTAACGAATTCCCTGTAAATCCTCCTCGCTGTTTGGTGTCGACTTCAAACCCTGAATTGCTCTTTCTTGACTCAAGATTTAATCTGTTTGCTGTAAACTTTCCAATCGCAGTCTGACTCAAGTCCTGATTGTGACCTAATCAAGCAATGTTTAATTAATTAGGAAAAGAAGGGTTAAATGAGGTCAAAGAGAAGATAAAAAGGGAAAAAAAAGTTTATTTTCTGGTCAACACACAGAAATATTTGCCTATTTCTCCCCAACTTCCTTAAAGATTAAAATTTTTCCAAACCGTTGAACAGAATGTATTGTACAGTGCAAAAAATGCTTTCTTACAATTTATTTTACTGTCTAACATTAAATCCAACTCAACCTATTCTGTTTGGGTCCATTAGGATCAGAACAACTATCTCTCTTTGATAGATCCCAGAATGAGAATTACCTTTTTCATTACTAATATCATTATGCTTTGAAACGATTTGGGGAAGCCCTGATGATGTCACAACTTTTTAAGCTTCTGATTTGTTAATTCAGAGCATTTGAATGAATTGGTGGCACACATGGATATATTTTAGGGCGGTATCTTTTTATGACATTTTGTAAAATGTGTGGCCAATCGATATGTAAAAGTTATGTCTCATTCCCACTGAACTGCTCTAGCATGATGGAATATCAGGAGCAACAACATCCAATGATTTCTATTGACTTTGTCTCCGTAAAACTAGGAAAAATTACAACAAACCCTCAAAATGCTTCTTATGAGACACAAAGTGTCTTCAGATCAGCTACAGTGAAACTGTGTAACATTTTAAAAAATCAATTACATAGATTCATAAACACAGAAAGAAAATACATCAATCTCCCTTAATAGTGATGAAAAAGTACTTTTAAATACCAGTACTTATAACTGGTATTTTTCCATCAACATTTAGGAATTAGTGACTTAAAAGAAACTACAATATCTTGCTGAAAAGTAACTTGTAAGTTAGTTTTGTTTTATTTCAAGTCTACTAAGATATTTGCACTAGAAACTGGATGAAAGTACTTGGTGAGATGTTGTGTTTTTGCAGTGGAACATGTTAAAGTATTTGTTTATTTCAATCTTTCGACTATATTTTGCTGTAGGTATCAACACGTATGAGGAACTTGGAGAAAAAGCCTTGAAAAAACCAGGAAAAGTAAGTTGTCGTTTTTGTGTTTTTTCAGGATTGTTCCTAATGTTGTCAGTTTGAATGGTTTGTTTGCTCTAATTGCTTTCTGTTTTCTTCTCTCCAGGTTTTGGTCGGTTTAGCGATTCTCATCCAAAATATCGGTGGTGAGTTGGCCTTCTTTTCAACACGAAGTAACAGACATTATTTCTGACATGCTGGACATGAAGCGATTATGTGGGTTTTATGAGAAGCAGAGCTGCGACTGGGCCGAGGAATGCTGCAGGGACGGTTTGTTTATTTTGGAGGCAGACATCGCCTCCTGCTGGTGAACAGAACACCCTGTGCTGACGTCCTCTGCTCGTTTCTCATCACTCCCCCCTGTGAGGCCATTATCTAGATTCCCTGATAACCTCTGACCTCGAACCACCGTCCTCTCCGCCCCCTCCCCTGGGCCTGAAACATGACTTCTCCCCTAATTGATCGCTGATGGTAAAACTCCCTCCCTCCCTGTTGTGAGGAGGAATAGCATTTAGGGATCCACTCCACCACAGACAGAGGATTATATTGATTAATGAAACTTTTTGTTTTTGAAGATGTTATTTTTGGAAAATCTGACTTTTTCTCACCAAAGTAATTTAAGGTATTTAGAGTTTGTTCAGAGTGATATTGCCTTAGGCAGCCATCTTGCTTCACAAGTGTGTTTTTAAAGCTTCCATTTATTTGGACTTCGACTGCAGATCAACTCTTCGATGAATACAATTACTAGGCTGAACATTTTTTTAAATTACATTAATAAAGTTGTAACATAAGGAAAATAAAGTAATATGGTTGCTTTAATAATTGATTATTATGATGATTGATCGATTAATCGGAAAATATTTGGCAAATTCTGCAGATTTTTCAATATTACAGATACATAAAAAAAATACCAACAAATAAATAATTCAGTTCGTTTTTTAATAATTCCTTCAATAAATTTCAACCAAGTGAAGTTAAAACTCAGCCACTTTTGGAGTTTTGGACAAAACATATTTACAAACAAATGTGTTTTTTTTCTTATCTTAAATTAATATAAACTGCAAAATCAATATATACTTTGCACTTTATTACTGCTTCAGATATACTATTTGTTCAGAAGATAAACATTTTGAGTCGTTGCACTGAACTTGGTTACTAAATTAGTTGACAATAATTTCAGTAATTGATTCATCGTGATTATTTGATTAATCGTTTCAGCCTTACTGCATTTTGTGAATTTATACTTTGGTTTATGTTTTACATTAAAATCTTGCCAAATATTTTTAGTTTAGTTTTCAGGTCCAATTCTTTGGTTTTATATTATTTCAGAAAGAACTTTTGAGCAATATGTTGGAACTTGTTTTAAGTCAATACTTCCTGAATATTGGTGAAAAGTACTAGTTCCATTGGCAGATTTGCTTAAACTTGTAATACAATAATTTGTCAATACAGCTACTATTGTTTCACCAATATTAAGAAATTATTGACTTAAGTCAAACTCCGACATATTGCTAAAAGATTCCTGTTAGTTGGTTTTCTCTTATTTCAAGTGGAATCAGATATTTGAACGGGAAACAAGGCAAAAATATTTAGTTTTTGCAGTGCAATACTTGATAGAAATGCTTAATATTTTAAAATTTTTATTATAATATGATTATAGGTTTTAGTGCTTTGAAAAGATTGTGCATCTATTTCATAGAAAGATCTATACAAACTGAGCTTGTCTCGTAATTCTAAGGCGTTTTTTTTCTGGTAAAATTGCGTCTTTTTTCTAATATTCTGACTGTGTTCGTCCAATTAAACAAAATCTCTTGTAGCCCAGCCCTGTTACTAAGTCATGCAGCTCACAGAGGGAATGATTGAAATAAAAAACACTTTTTGAAAATATTTTCTGGTGTTTAAAAAAAAAAGAAAGCGAAAAAGAAAGAAAGCAAAAAATTTATTAAATCGTATGAGTATTAAAAAATGTAGATCTTATGTTTAATCCATTTCGCTATATATTTGCTGCTCCGTCGTTAGCAGCTCGGTTGGTAGCTCCCCGCCTATCCTCTGATGTGTTGGTGTTTCCCCAGCATGCAGGAGTGAGAGAGCCAGCACTCCAGTGTGCATCTGCTCCTTTTATAAGAGTGCAATTAGCCTCACTCTGGGTAAACATTCATCTGCGCTGCCAAAGGCTGAGCAGCCAATTGACCTTAATTACTGACCACCCCATGGCTCTGCAGCCGGCCGGCCGACCGGCAGGCCTCTCCTGGCTCTTAATGAAATGAAAGCGGTTCTTTCTCATGTTGTATTCACTCTGGAGCGATTTGCTGACCACACACAGAAAGCTCACCTCTATTCTCCTTTAGCATGACATGCATGCTGATTATCAGTGTCTGTTTTCTTACCACTTGGCCAATAACTATCCTCTTTGTTCACTCAAGGGCCATTTTAAGTAGTCATGTAAGTATTATCTCACCTCTGGTTCCTATAGAAGTGCTTGGTGCACTGCAAAAACACAAACTGTTAGCAAGTATTTATGTAGTTTCTAGTCTAAATATCTGAAGATAAGACAAAAGACATTTGCTCTAGAAACTAGATAAAAAATACTTGTGAAATTTGGTAATTTTTGCAGTGTGTGCTCAGTTTAACCAGCTACATGAAGCGACACCGCTGCATCCTGTGTTTCTGTTAATGTGGCTGTAAAATGTATTTTGTTTCTTAAAGCTGCTGTAAGTAACTTTCATTGTAAAAATAAAAATCTTTTATTTATATATTTGTTAAAACTGTCATTATGTTGTGACAGGATAATATGAGATAAATAATCTGTGAAAAGATGGAGCTTCTTTGCCTTCTCGCAGTGCTCCCATTTCTAAATATAGAACTACACAGCTGGGTCAGAAACAAGCAATCAGAGCCAGAAGGAGGGTCTTAGCACTGTCAATCAAGCTTGTGTACATGCTGTCCACTCCTCCTCCTTTGAAAGGAATGTTCAGGCTAGTTAGACAGCAGATAAACAGTGGTAAAATGTTTCTGTGCTATTAGAACACCGAGCAGCATGTACATGGGGGTTATTGACAGCGCTAAGATCTTGCTCCTGGCTCTGATTTGCATGCTGTTGCTTTAATATTTTTCATGGTTGACTAACCAAAGCAGCTCTGATGTGCAGATTTGCTTCACTGGAACCTCTGAGGTCTGATTTCAGAACAAAATGTTTCCAGACATCAGTCCTTATTGACTAAATCCATCCGTTCATCCATCCGTCTGTCCATCCATCCATCCATCCATCCATCCATCCATCCATCCATCCATCCATCCATCCATCCATCCATCCATCCATCCATCCATCCATCCATCCATCCATCCATCCATCCATCCATCCATCATTGTACCTTCTTTATTCTAATGTTTGTCACTGTGATAAAGTCATTCTACATTCATTGTTCATTAATGTAATGACTAGAAAAATGGACTAAAAAGTCTGAAACATGGAGAGCAGGAACGCTGGATCAATAATCACATCCATAAAGTCACTTGTGGATCAAAAACCTCTAATATAGACAACATTGAAGCAAAGGGACAAACTAGATCAAGCTGCCATATCAGTATTTTTATGCCCACAAATAAAACACTGAAACAGTAATGGAGGAGTGAAGGATCTCTGCCTGCCAAGTTGTAGCATTCAGAAATGGCAGCTGTTGCTCATAGACAGAAAGTGCTTGTGTCTGTGTGGGCAAGAGCGTTATTGGAGGAATTTTCTTTTCTAAACAAATACAGGATCTAAGGGATTATGGCTGGGATTATTTAAAGGAGAGCCAAAGACCCGCCTCGGGGCTGCAGGGTCCCAGCTAGCCCTGCATGTGCCTGGCTTCCCCAATCATAAATCCCTTAAATTCAGCAATGAACACACACTGAAACACTGTCAAAACACAACATAACCAAATAATTTTGATCTAATTGCTAGTGCAAATATCTCGATACATTTGAAATAAGACAAAACTAAGTTGCAAGTAACTTTTCCTTAAGACATAAGAGCTTGTTTTAAGTCAGTAATTCCTTAATATTAATAAAAACAAAAAGTTCTGCTTTCACAAGCAGATTTTTTTTTTCTTACAAGACATTTTTTTATGTCGGAAGTGAAAAATGTACCAGTGGAAATAGAACTTTTTCAACATTAAGAAATAGTTACTAACAATGTACTAAAATATGTGATACTAAAAATACTTGGTAAGATTTTGTGGTTTTTGCTGTTCTCTTTCTGAATAGCAGTTCAATAACAAAACATTTGTCTAGTTCAGCAGTAAAAACCACTTGACTAAAAGTGCTGGAGTTCCACTTGGGTTGCTAGGTGACGGACCGGGGTTGCTAGGTGACGGACCGGGGTTGCTAGGCAGCGGTACAGTTCCCAGAATTCTGACTCAACAATCTGAATTTCAAGATTTTGACACTAGAAACTAGAACAAAACGCATTAAGATGTTGGGTTTCTGCAGTGAGTTTGCTGTTCTCATAGCGCTCCTCACACTGGATAGTCTTTCTGAGCTAACAGGAAGTGAATTGATCCTCTGTCCGTTTGATTGTCTGTGGGAAGTGGAAGCGTCTTGTTTCCTGGCGAGGCTGAGAAAGGTTGGGAAGTACCTGGATTAGCGTCAGAGATCATTACTGTTAGCATTCCTGCTCCCTCCTCACCCGATTAACCTCCTCCTGGCTGCTCTGCAGCAATTTGAAGCCCAGTGTTTTGTCTGCCACTTCCAACTGGGGGCTTTACTGGGGATCTCCCAAGGCTAGCCACCCATGTTGTGTTAGCCTGCTCCCTGTCCTGTGTGTTTCCCAACTGTGTTTTCTGAAGTATGTGTTAACACACCCAAGGCTAACTTAGTTTTTCTCAGCAATTTCAAAATCTATTTCAATAATCCTGGTGTCAAAATAAAGCTAACACTTGAGAGAGTCCATCAGAAGTGCAAGTATCACAGCACCTGCATTAGTTTAAGAGAAAATGAGGATTGAACATAAAATAATTTGGATTTTTTTTTGTCCCTTGCCAGGATTTTCTTTTAATATTACACAGGTTAAAGCAACATATGGTTCTATGTTCACTTGTACAAATATGAATGCAGCTGAGGTAAACTAAAGCAAACTCAGAGGTTTCAGTTAAAAATACCTAGAAAATTTGAACTTGGCACAGATTGACATCATCTACAACACTGGGGATTTTCTGTGATTTTATTTACTAAACTTATTTTGCAGATATATTTTTAAATACCTGCATTTATTTATACCTTTATCATAAATTATTTTTAATTGAAGTTTTTATTATTTTTTTAAAAAGAAATTTATGGTAAAAAAAGAGAGAAATTACTGCACATTTCAGCACATTTTTCTGAGAGAAAAATTCAAATCACCAACAAATATATTTTTGGCACTACCAGAGCTCCATGCAATTTTTTTATTTTATTCATTTATTTATTTTTTTTATGAAAGTTTCTGGTTACTGATGTCTGTCCTGCAGCCCTTGTGCTTCCTGCTCAGCTCAGATGCTCAAATACTTTTTTTATTCGCTTCTCGATGTTTAGAGTATGATGTTTCCATGGATACCAAATATGTTCAGCTGACGACAGGTGCAATAAAACACTCAAATATGAGCTCAGATATGCTCGTGGTGGCATTCCGCTGCTTTATGTGATCTTGGTTAAAATGTAATCTTTGTTTTCCTTGTTTCTCCTCAGCCATGTCGTCCTACTTGTTCATCCTGAAGTCGGAGTTTCCTGCAGCCATCAGCAGCTTCGTGAATGCAGGAAACACCGGGTGGGTTCATGCAGCCTGCTCAAAATGAGAATATTTTTAAAATATTGTGAAAGTACATGGTTGAAAGGAAATTATTAAGCTAATTTTAATTTATTATGTACAACACCTGGCTGCATTATAATGTGGGACAAACTTAAACTGTAAAATTTGTGGCAAATCTTGAAATTTGACACTCAGAAAAACTTTTATTTGTTCAGCAAAGAGAATATCTGATGTTAGATTTAAAAAGTTGCTTTTTGTTTGTTTAGTTGCATAAAATCCCAGTACTTGCAGTTGTAGTTTCAAAAAGCTCAGATTATTTGAAAACTTTGCTATCCAAACATCCATAACCCATCAGCAGCCCACGTCCTTCAGTGACCTTTCTGGTCCGTCCTGCAGCTCCCCGTCCTGCAGCTCCCCGTCCTGCAGAGCGTCGTCCTCTGGCCAAGAATGTAACGTATATCCCTTTAATATTGGCCACACCGGTTTAAGCAGGACTTGTAGCGACTCTCAGCCCCCATCCGTCAACATCTGACTCTTCCACGCACAGCTGCTCTGTATTAGCACGCTGCGTTCACCCCGCCACCCCCAAATCTCTCACACATGTTCCCCAGAATCAGACTGATACAAGGGGATATCAGTTTTGCCAGTCTAATTACGGCTCGCTGTGGAGGGGAGCAAAACGTTCCTGTTAATGAGCGGCTTCAGGGACGTTAACAGGAGCCTGTTCGCTTCCTTCAAAGCGGGAATAAATGAGTGAACATGTCGCGTAGTTTGTCATAACGCAGAGGAATGAAAGCAGTTCCACTTGTTTTTGTTTGTCTGCTGGAGAGATTTTTATTTTCATGTTTTGTGTTTCATGCCAAGCAGCTGTGGACTTTAGCGCCATTATAGGTGAAAAAAATGAAGGAGTAAAATCCTTCCCCAAAAGTCATATTAAAATTATTAATCAGATTAATTCTCAAAAACTAATTCTGAAATAAATCAGAAAATTTCTGATTCATCTCAGAAATCTTCTAGAAAAAAAGTAACAAAATTTCTACTTTAAATTTCCAAAAGTAGAAAAAAATTCTCAAATATTTTTTGATATCAAAAAAAATTCAAGCAAATTTTTTGCTGTTCAATCTCAGAAATTACATTCATTTAAAGAGAACTTTTATCATGCAAAAATTTATAATTTGTACGTTTTTGTATTTCAATTTGGCTCTTGACTGATTTTTAAAACAGCTCAGGCACTAAAAATAAAATACTCAGACAAGTTTTGGCAATAAGTTAGTCTGGAAAATTAGTCATTTCAAAAACCTTAAGTCACATTTAACTGATTAACAAAATAATTTGTTGTTCCCTATTAACCCCATACAAGACCTGCTCAGTTACCAGCAACCAAGCTGAGCACCAGCATGTTTGGTCAGCTGGTTTTTCCACTGTACGCTCCTGTACAATTCCTGCTGGAAAAGACAAGTTTTGTTGTTACCTTTCTATTTAGAAACCACTTTCTGCATTCTTGTTGGTTGTGCAGGAGGCTCCACTGCTGCTTTTCAAAGATGTACAGTTATATAATTGCGCATCTGTTTGCAGCCATTTTCACGTGTGAGCTTAAATGTTGAGTTGGGGGGTGTGGCCAACAGCAGCTTATTTGGATTTATGAGGCCCGAAAACCAGTCAAAATACAGGCAAGAGTCAATGGGTGTTGATATGGTCGGAGCAGGTGCTGCTAACGGTGGGTCGGCCATGGAGCCAGTCCCTCATGACCCGGTACCCGGGCCCAACAGATAGCAGCGACAACCAGGACCCATCCCAGACGACCCTGGCCCCAGCGGAGCCAGCATGGCTTCCACATGTGTCACTATACCGCCGCCTCTTCCTCCTCCTCCACAATTCCCAATAAACCACCAAAGCTCTCCTTCAGCAAAAGAAAATATTATTCCCCTCTCTGAAAACCCTGAAAGAAAAATGTGGTCCCATCGAATGGAGCGACACAGCCTTAGCATGTGAACTACATGATTGTTGTGATTTGAAAGAGCTAAAGCCTTTAATTCGTTCCACATGACGGATCTGTCACTCTGAATTTGAGTCCAAAATGGAGACAAATTTCCAGAGCTGGTTCATCTTAATGCATGCCACTTTAAGACATTTCAGAAAGTCTGCTGCGATTCAACCTTGACTTTTAATGCCTTACCTCTGGTGTTTTACAGAAATGCCTGGTATGAAGATGGCAGGCTACTTCTCATCATCATCACACTTTGTATTGTTATGCCTTTAGCAATGTTGCCAAAAATTGGTGAGTTTCCAACAAAAAAAGTTTTTGTTGTTTTTTTCCATCTCTGACTGGTTTGAACCACTCTGTTTTCCTGGATGTCTCTCTCTCTCCCAACAAAGGATTCCTGGGTTACACCAGCAGCCTTGCCTTCATCTTCATGTTGTATTTTACAGTTGTGGTGAGCTCTGACCCAAACCTTGAAAAATCAGTTGACTACATTTTTTCCGATGTTGACTTTCTCCATTGTTGTCTTGTTTCTAGGTTGTGGTGAAGAAATGGTCTATTCCATGCCCGTTGCCTCATAACATCACAACGTTCTCAGACTTTAAGAAGGTGAACATAAACAATTTATTCAGAACAAAAACACGGTTCAGCTCAACCCAAAGCAGAAAAATAGTTTTACTACTCTGTATGTGAATGTAGAGGATGGATATGTTAAATATAAGTTTCATTGATTCTCATAATTGATCGCATCCATTTTATTGTGAGAAAATATTCACTCATTACACTGCAAAATCACAAATCACATTTTTGGTTTTGTTTTAACTTCAATTATCTTATCACACTTCAAATCAGACAAAACTAAGTTATTTATAATTAATTTTTCTCCTATTTAAAATATACTGAGATATTTACTCTAGAAACAAAACTAAAAATACTTGGTTATGGTTAAAGATTTTGTCCTGCGTCTTACAACAATTTTAATCCAGATTGTTAATTCTGACTGTTGAGCAGTTGCCTAGCAACCCCAGTCCAGCCCAGCTCATCGCCTAGCAACCCCAGTCCAGCCCAGCTCATCGCCTAGCAACCCAAATGGCGCTCCAGCAAACTAACTTACAAGTTTCAACAAGATATAGGAGGTTTTTTTTTTAAGTGAATAATTCTTTAATACTGATTTAAAAAGCACTACTTCCACTGGGGGATTATTTCACTAGCCAAATATGAAGTGTACATTTAGATTTTTATTAATACTTTTAATATTTTTCTTGCTATATGAGAATAAAATCATAGTATTTGTAGAACAAAGTCATATTATCAGATGAGTCATAATATTATGACTTTAGTTATTTTACTGTATTCTCATACACCAAGAAAAATATTAAATATTCTTCTAATTTTTTTATTCTTTTACTTTCTTAGCATGACCCTAACACTCTGCAGTAAGGAAGCAATTGCTGAGTTTTTTTCCACTATTATTTTGGCTGCATCTCTGCTTTACTTTTGAGTGAGTGGGCGTGTCTGGAGTTTTGTGAGGGAGGTAGATTTTGCCCAGACGTTCATGGCCAACGGGATTATGAGGGTAAGCTGGGATGTTGAGTTTACTGATTGTGTCAGATTTGGCTGATGAGGACCAGAACGGGCCGCTTGGAGCTCTGCATGGTGAATGAAGCCAGTCCCTAAGGGAAGGAAGTCCAGGTGACCTTTCCTGATCCTGGAAATGAACTCTGACTTTTAGAAATTCAACACCGAGCTACATCCCCAATCTGAGCGCCAGCTAACTTACTTTTACCAAAGTTGTTTTTTCCTGGAGATGTGAGGGCAAACAGTGAGAATATATTTCTATTTTCAGACGTAGATGTTTTAAATTAAAAAAAAACTTTTTTGCTGTTGTTTCCTTTCAGGTATCAAACCAATCTGACTCAGAATGTACACCTAAACTCTTCATCATCTCCTTAAAGGTGAGTATAAATTAAAACCGCAAAAATCTTCCCAAGAAATTTTGGTCTAGTTTTTATTGCAATTGTCTAAAATGTTAATAACATATGATTAACCTTTAACCATGGCATGAGCTTGTTTTAAATTAGAGTACTAGTTCCATTGGCAGATCATTTTAACTCATAACAAGATCATTTTCCCTTCTTATAAGTGAAATTATCTCCCAGTGGAACCAGTAGTTTTTCATCAATATTAAGTTATTATTGACTTATATCTTACTTACTTGTGAATTAGTTTTGCATTATTTCAAATGTAATAAGATATTTGTGTGATAAATTAGACCAAATATACTTGCTAAGTGTGATTCTGGAGAGTAGATTAATTCCACACAGACTAATGTTTTAAAGCCTCCATTTAATAAAAATACAGCATGTAAAAATAAAATATTAACATCAGTAGTGTAAATATCATACTTTAAAACACTTTAAATAAATCAAAAATAACTAACAAGTAACTTTTCAGCAAGAAATAGGAGCTTGTTTTGACAGTTATTCCTTGATATTTATGAAAATTTTCTAGTTCTGCTGGTAGATTGTCATTAAAACTAGTACTTTTTACATCTAGCTGAAAAGTTACTTGTAAGTTTTACCTCATTTCAAGTGCTTATTTAGTATATTTGATCTGGAAACTGAACCAAAATACTTGATAAGATTTTGTGTTTTTGCAGTGTAAACCTTTTCCATCCTCTGGTCATGTGCAGACTGTTTGAGTTGTTGGTGAGAAGTTGTTGAATGCCATTCGTTCCTCTCCGCTGACAGGTCACACTCTCACCTATGATGGGTATTACATTCCAAGAGAAAGCATGCAACTCGTGCCCTGCAATAGTTTTCACACTCCTTTATCTTTTTTCACATTGAAATTATGAACTTCAGCATCTTTCAGTGGGATTTTTGTGTGATGCACTAACATATAGAGTGTATAAGTTTTACCAATGAATATCTGAAAATTGTGGCCTATTTTAATTGAACTCGTATGAGTCATGGCTTTGGAGAAGCTACTTTCTCTGGATTTGAGGGTGTTTTAACGTCACTCCTGTTTAGTTTGGTTAAATAAAACTCTAGTTCGTTTTATTTCTCCATCTATGTATCACTAGATGGAGAAATGGATCATGTTCTTACCAAAGACGAAAGAAATTTTGGTTCAGCTTCTAATGCAAATATCTTATTACACTTAAAATTAGACAAAACCAAAACAAGTAGTTTTTCATCAACAAACTGTATCCTTAAGATGCATTAAAAGTACTAATTATACTGGCAGATTAATTCACTTAAGATTCAAGACTCATTAAATTTTTCCCATATTATAAGTGAAATAATCTGCCAGAGGAACAAGTATTTTCTTACCAAGAAAAAGGAATTATTAACTTAAAAGAAGCTTCTACACACTGCTGAAAAGATACTTTTATAGGAGTTTTATCTTCTTCCAACTGGTTTTCTCATGGATTTTCTTGTATTTAGGTTCATCCTTCTTCTCATCAACTCTAATTAGCTCCTTTTTGGTTTGTTGCAGAGTGCCTACGCCATCCCTACTATGGCCTTCTCCTTTCTGTGCCACACAGCCATCCTGCCCATCTACTGCGAACTGAAGCGGTCAGCCTCTGGGTTAAATACGGCTCTGGACCCTGCTATGTAGCCGCTAAGCTAACTGTATGACTGCGCTGTCTTTCAGACCAACCAAAACCCGAATGCAGAACGTTGCAAACATCAGCATTGGTCTCAGCTTCCTGCTCTACTTCATTTCTGCTCTGTTTGGGTACCTCACCTTCTATAGTAAGTAGGGCTGAAACGATTAATCGAATTGATATGTTTATTCGATTATGAATCACGATTAATCGATTGTGGAAATAATCGTCAACTAATTGTGTAATTTAAAAAATGGTTAACTGGAATACACAGACTCAAAAAAAATGCTATTTCCTGAAAGAACAACACAATCAGAGCAGTAATCAAACCAAAACTGTACAAAAATATATATGTTTGCTCCTTAAAGATTAAAAAAAGCTTATTTTTCTGTATATATGTTCTATCCAGAACTGCTATAGAGGTACTTCTATAGCTTCACCTGGTTCAACTTCTGAAAAGAATCTTTTAACTCCTTATGCTAATCAATTCTTAATCCAAAAATAATCAACAGGTCTGCCCTGCACTGTATTGATGTTGCAAATGGATCCTTTGCTACAAATTATCAAGTGTACACTAAAGGAATGCTGTGTTGTTGCTTTTTAGGAAATACAATGTTTATATTATTTTATTTTATAAAAGAAATATAATTGTTTATTTGCGTTTTTAATGTATTTCCAAAGTATAAATAAAAACTTTGCATCTCTGCCAGTTTTTTATCTGATTAATCGTCAGAATAATTGATTAATCAATAACTACAGTAACCATTACTTGCAGACGTCATCAGTTTAAAGTCCTGCTCTGTTTCTGCTCCTTTATTATTATTATTATTATTATTATTATTCTCCTTTCAGGTCATGTAGCGTCTGAGCTGCTGCTCGGCTACGACGTGTACCTGCCGCGCGACATCCTGGTGATGACGGTCCGGCTGGCCATCCTTCTCTCTGTGCTGCTGACGGTGCCGCTCATACACTTCCCCGTGAGTGTGCCACGTCAGATTAAATGTCAGAGGAATCACTTTTCAAGCTGAAATATTTAATTTTCATGAATTAGGCCCGTAAGGCTGTGATCGTGATGCTGTATGGAGGAAGCCACTTCTCCTGGCTGACCCACATCGTCTCAACTCTGATCATCCTGGGAGTGGTGCTGATGCTGGCCATCTTCGTGCCTGATATCAGGAATGTGTTTGGAGTCGTTGGTATGTAAGAAATTAGTTGATTTTACTATATTTTTTTGTCTTGCAGGCAGAATTGATGACACCTTTTAAGCTGTACCCAGGCCTGTCACACTAACAAATTCTGCTGGATGTTAAATTCTCCCATAAGTTATTGCGATAAACGATATTATTTTGAGACAATTTTGTAGTAATATAATGATAATTGCACAATGATGCAAGAACACGTTCTGAAAGATCGATACACTTTAATTTCTAATGTTTAAATCTGGATCTAGACAACATTTTTAAATATCTGAAATAAATAAAACAACAACAAAAAAAAATTATACTAAAGTCTTTGTAAACAAAATTTCCTATTATTGCAAAATTCCAAAATCTTACAAAATATTTTAGTCTAGTTTCTATTACAAATATCTTACTAGGTTAGTTTTGAAATCAGACAAAACTAACCTACATTTAACTTTTGAGCAAATTTTAGAAGCTTGTTTTAAGTAAATAATTCCTAAATATTGACAAAATAAATACTTGTTAGCAGATTATTAAACTTATAACATGGGGAAATGTCTTCTTCCATTGGAACTAGGACTTTTTAAAATCAATATCAAGGAATTATTGACTTAAAACAAACTCCTATATCTTGCTGAAAAGTTACTCATAAGCTAGTTTTGTCTTATAATGTAATAAGATATTTTCGCTAAAAATTAGACAAAAATACTTGGCAAGATTTTGTGTTTTTGCAGTATTTGAAGAGCTTGAAATTCCCAGACATGTGGAGGTCCTCAGTCCTCTTCCTGATGTCTTGGTTGATTTCTTTTGATTTTCAAATGATGTTGAACTCAAATATTGAAATTTAGCCAATCAGAAGCTTGAAAAGTCCTGACATCATCATCTGGGCTTTCCTGGATTAATTAAAACAAGATATTCAAATCTGAAGTCATAAAAGATTCTCTCTCAAAAAACAACCCCAAAATAGAATATAACATATAGCATTTAGCAAAATGGAAATAATTTTAGTTTACCTAATTTACTTAAAACAATAAAAGTTTAGCCTTTACATTAAATGTTACTTTCTGCTTAATTTGAAAACTTGAAGCTTGAAATTAAAGGAAATGTTGGTGTGCATGAAAGAGACCGTTTATTTAACAATTAGAATTTAATGTAATACTAGAAATGTAATAACAGAAACTGCATTTATGTTTTGATGCTGAATCTATTTCCAGCAGACTTTAAAAGCAGCGAAATATTCAAGTTGCATCATTTATGCATAACTAATGCATTCCTGGTTTAAGTTTATGAATCTGCTGCTGTTATGTATTCTCCATGTTGATTTTAATCAGTTTTTAATAATCTTTTTTTTTAAATTATTTTAGGCTCAACAATGTCCAGCTGCCTGCTGTTTATTTTTCCAGGAATTTTCTACCTTAAAATCAGCAGCCAACCGATCAAATCCGTCAACTCCATTGGGGTAAATCAGCAAAATGTCACCTGTCATAGTTTTCTTCCTGGTGTTTTTTTCCTGACCTGGTGTTTATTTTTGTCTCCCCAGGCCATATTTCTGGTGGTTTTTGGGTTGATGATGGGCGTTACCAGTCTTACTGTTATCATTCTCTCATGGGTGTTAAACTCCTGATCCAAATCCAAACCAGAAAGGGAAATGTGAACCAAAGAAACTGAATCATGAAAGGGACCAGCATCACCTCAGGGATGAATACTAAAGTATTTATAGCGCTTTCAAATTACGACAAACTTTTTCTACATATTGACTTTAATTTTTCTTTATTTTTCTGGATTTAAAGATGAACAAGGGATGATTTTACTATTTTGATTTTGCACTTTGTTATTCCTTTAAACTTTCCTGAAACGATTCTTGTCCTAACTGGATGTATTTCTGCCCTGTTTTGAGCACTAAATGAAGGGAAAATTGTTTACATAATGAAACTCGGGTTTGCTTGTTTAACAACTAAAATGTCTTCATCAGAACGTCTAAGACTCATCTGTGTAAACATGTGTTTGATTGGCAGCAGCGGTTGTGATGCTGAGGGTCACGCTTTTCTGTGGTTTGGCTTGCAGCTAATGAAACCCACACGCTCCGCACGTTTCCATTCGCCGTCGCACTGTTTAGTAGTTCGTCTTTAAGTCGCCTCTCAAGCACCCAGACAACTAGTCGGCTTTCTGCTTTAAAGAAGAGCCACTTCAATCAGTCTCCTCATTAAATAAAATGCAATTAATAACCCTAAACAAACTGCGGATGACAACAGTTTACAGTTGCCACAGCTAAAATCCACAACATTAATCATGACAACAGTTTTAAAAACGTACACAAAACATGACAAAATCACACGTGAAACCCTGTACATAATTAAGTCTGTCTAAAATTAATGTTAGAATATAAAACTTGTAAAGGAAAAAGGGGGAGGAGCTGTCAGTTACTGGTTGCTACGGTAACCGCCAACTGACAAGACCAACGCCCGTGACGTCACTCTCTCTGAAACTCTGCCCGCTCCGCCATTGCGGACATAAAATCAACCGATGCGCCCCTGTGGCCTTTATAAAGTTGATTTCACAGCACGAAACGGGCACAGGATGCTGCGCGGTCGGCTGCGGAGAAAGACGAGGATGAAAACCAAACTTGTAATTTTATTTTATGACTTCTAATGAGGTAAAATGCGGCGGCGACGGATTCCAGCCGTTAATCATAATGACTGGCAGCCCTCGGTGTAACCGCGGATTTGCAGCGAACACCATTTACAAGGTAAAACGATTAACGTTCAGAATACATTTTATAAGCAAGTGTGACTAGCAAGATATGAAATATCGCATTATGGAGGAAGTACGCGTCTAACCATTAGTAACCATGGAAACAGTGCCCCACCGTCATGTAGCCTAGCATGTATGGAAAAACCTGGTTAGCATCTCGTCTTCTGCACGTTTTTAAGGCTGCTCCAGTGTAACGGGAACCGCAGTTTATGACGCAGTGATATAAACGAAGAGGTGTGAATTCAAACAAAGTTGGTAATATGATCAACACGTCAGGACGGAGGAGTTATGGGTCAATTTCTATGCTAGCTGTTTCAAGCTCCTGTAAATACCGCCGTCTGTGAGCAAAACTAATCGAGAAATTTGGAGTAGAAGCCATGAATAAACTGACAAAAACAACTTCAGTTGCTCTGTTCAATTCCGACGTCCATCATGGCGGTTAAAATAACTGAGTGACGTCGTTGCAAAGGCTACGTCACTCAGTCATGCCATTGCAACTACGTCACTACGTCACGTTATTGCAAAGGCTAATAAATGTCTGGGAAAAAAATGTTTTTTTACTAAACAAAATTGATTTGAAGAATAAATAAACAATTTTTTTTGACAAATTTCACATCTGTAATGTAAACAAAATTTAACCAAAATAAATGGTTTTGAATCTTTTTCCACCTACAATGTGGCCTTTGACAAAGTGTCTGAGCGTCTTTAGACACTAAAGATACCTTAGACATCTTTAGTGTCTATATACTAACTAATAAGTTAAGGTATTTAAAATTAAGCCTTACAATTTCTTAAATTTGAAAGATAAATGAAAGTTGACCTTAGATACTTTAATTGCAGATTTCAAATTTTGTGAGGGCACAGACATTTTATTTCATTTAGTTTATTTTTCTCATGGGACAATTTTGTAAGGAAATTTGAGTCGCAGGCAGATGACATCATTGCATTCTGTGACTTGAGGCGGTTGAAGCTACCACCCACAAGCTGCTAATTACCCTTGCTAACCACCTTTTTTTATGTATTGCCAGTTGGTTGGGCAATGTTCATCTTTGCCACTGGCTCTCTTCTGTTGCCAAAATATCCAATGCTACATTCATTCTGTGCGAAAAAAAGAAGGCAGCGCTACTATTATATCAAATATAACATTTTCTTTTGTACATTTATGTTGTGATACAGGTCTTAAATTTTATTCATAATGATCTTTAAAAGGTTTTAAATTATTATTAGTTGTAAATTTCCCTTTGGTGATTACAACAAAAATAAAGTATTTTTGAATATGAACTCAATTTGAATTAAATTTGCATCGATGAAACCTGCAGAAACCCTGTGTGACCTATACAACTTTATTGGAAAACAAATAAAAATCTTGAAATGGTTGTGAAGTTATTTACCTTGATCCTTATTTTTCTTCAGATATACAAGGGATTTTAAAAAGAGTATTTAGACCTTTTTTTTCTTTAACATAGACTGTACTTTGTAAAATCATTTTTAGCGCAAGATTACCACCTAGTGTCCGACAGTGACAGCATTCCTCGTCTCTGTAATTTTTTTCTTTGGGTATAAAACTCAGAACAAGTTTGAACCAAATAGACGTCGAAGCTCTGAAAACCAGTGCTTTTTGTGTTGGAAGGCTGCATGTTGACCCGGTTCTGAGCTGTTTTTATGGGGGCCTGGAGTGGTCAGAGTCCTCCGCTCAGGGTGGGAGTGTTTTTGTTTAGTTAAACCGGCTCACAAGGCTGGGCTGGGCCCATGTCCAGCAGTATGACAACACCGTCTCCCAGGGTTAAAGGAAGGAATGAAGCAGGGAACGATGGTGGGCTGAAATTAAGACCCTGCTGGCAGTCTTGGCTTCTTCTGTTGGTTTAAGAGGTGTTGGCTGCGTGCTTTCAAAAATGTTTTTTGTTTATTGAAGTCAGAACAGTGATTACTTATGATATGTTGTCCGATTGTTGACCTTTTGACATACAGTTTGCTGGCCTTTCATTTGTGAAGAAAAGAAAAGGTGGTAAAAAGCATTACTGCTTCCTGTTTGGGTTTAATTCTGCCAGTTACCTGGGAAATGGGAACTCTGAGCTGGATTTGCCGTCAGATGAGGAGAATTTATTGTATTGTTTATCACGGTAAATTTAGATTTATCATTTTCACAATAAATTCCAATTATTGTGAATGTATTCGCAATAAGTTTATTTAAATTTTTTAAGAAATTAAAATCCACTTTTAATTGGTTTGGTGTAGAGTTGCCGGAGTCACAAGTGACGTTGATATTAGACAAACTTGCATGTATGTCTTGTAAAATCAACATGTTTCTCCTACATCTTACTGCTGTTGATGATAGGAGATTCCATATTGAAACACAAAGTCCACCTTAAAAAGTCATGACTGGGGTAGTCGGGAGTTGCTCCCAGTATCCCAGTGGGAAATCTGACTTCGGAGGACATTCTAGTTAATTTTTCCGATTGGAAAACTGGGAGCAACTCTGACTACCCCTTGTCACGACTTGTTAGGTGAACTTCATGTTTCATGTCAACAGTAGTAAGAAACATGTTGATTTTACAAGACACAATCAATGTTGCATGAAGTGCCTGCAACTCTAAACTGAACAAACTCAAACTGGTGTTTGTTTATGGAAAGGGAAGCTTGAGAGTATGTTCATAAGAGCTACTGAAAACAATGTTGAAATTCTGACTTCTTAACTATATATTCTAGAACGTGGTTTCCTCGGGTCTCAGTGATGTCAAACCCAGCTCTGAGTTAGCTGAGATGCTAGCATCAGCATCTCGGTTCTTTATGTCAGAAACTGCAGCAGCAGAGAGAAAATCACACACATCTGCTTTCAGTTTAATCCTCTCCAACAGGCGTTCCTGCCTTAGAGGTGCTTCAGGGGTCTTTTCACGTCAGCTTTTTAATGGCGACTGGCATGATGAGTGGTTCCCCCGTTAGTCACAGTTTGGACCACAACTCGACAAACACCGTCCACATACGCGAGTGTCATCGCTGATGAAGTGCTCTGCGTTTCATTTTCAGTTTTTCCGTCTGTTGTCTCTGTTCACCTTCGCTCCACGCTGCTGTTCTGCTGTGAATCCATTTCCACGCTCCATCAGTAAACATGCTCGCTGTGTCACAGTAACGGCATTCCTCGCTCTGAGGACTCTTTCTGAAACTCCAGATGCTTTTGTTGTTCAACAATGTACCTTATTTCCACTCAGATTTCCTAATCCTTTGCATGAAATAATGCTGGGAAAAGCCCATAAATTAGGAGATTTCAGAGTTATTGTAAGTAAATAAAGCATGAAGGAAGTAACTTTTCAGCGAAATATAGGAGATTGTTTGAAGTAAATAATTCTTTAATATTAATAAAATATAACACTTAAAACATATTTCTCAGGTTATAAGTGGTACAATCTGACAGTGAAACAAGTATTTTTTTTATAATCAATATTCAATAATTACTAACTTGGAAGAATCATGTGTAAGCCTAGTCTTATTTTAAGTGTGCTGAGATATTTGCATTAGAAGCTAAACAAAAACTACTTGGTAAGATTTTGCAGTGTGAGCCTGGTTCCAGTGGGAAGTTTGGAAATTGAAAGGGAGGTCTTCCTTTCCACTGTCCCCACGTGCATTATCAAGACGACACTGTAAAAAGCACAACATCTTAGCAAGTGTTTTTGTCTAGTTTCCAGTGAAAATATATTCTTAAACTTGGAATAAGACAAAGCTAACTTATCAGCAATTTAAGATATGAGCTTATTTTAACTCAATAATTCCTTAGTATTAGTAAAAGTGCTATTGGCAGATGATTTCACAAATAAGATTTTTTTCCCCATGTTATCAGTGAATTAATCTGCCAATGGAACTAGAAAGTTTTCATTGATATCAAGGTTTGTTTTTTAAAAACAAGCTCCTATATTTTGTTGAATAGTTATTTATAAGTTAGTTTTCTTCTTGCTTGCACTATAACTGGACCAAAAATACTTGGTGAGGTTTTGTGTGTTTGGAGTTTGTTTGAAAAAACAACCTGGTAAAGTTTTCAGGGTGGGAGGTTTCAGAGTAAATCTTCAAGATTTCTCTTTCATTCAGCTCTTCTGATGCCCTTATTAAAACTTTCACAGTATTTTTTGGGTAAATAAAGTTGTATTAGTCGAGACTGAGACGTGTGGTGTACAGTTTTTGTTTTATGCTTGTGATTTGCGTTGGTGGGGGTGGGGATCAGCTTGTGTCTGTGGAAACCCATCAGCCCTGGGCTGAGCCCTTAATGCAGCCCTGACGCCTTTCTGGCGCAGGGGCCACGCTGCCTCACATCTGGAGCCAATTACCCCATGAGGCTGTGTCAGAGTCCCTCCTGTTGCCCCACCAAACACCCACTACTCGCTGCTCCTCCGTCCAAACCAGCTCTGACCACTTTGACAGGCACATTCCTCCACACTGTGCCATATTCTTCTTGGTGTTTTTTCTTCTCTGCCCTGAACATCCTCCACACTGACCAGGTTTTCCTCTAAACTGAGACAAGACGTGTTTATTTGTCTCTTTCTGTGTCAAGCTGGAAGAAATTCTGACCGATCCACTCAGCTTTGTTGGAGAGTTCTTCATTGACTCTCAATTCGATGTTTGTCCATGAGTCTTTGCAGAATGCAGAATAAATTGATGCAATTCATTTATTTATTTTTTGGCGTGGTCGTTAACACGTCCAAATATATGCGACTTGCGGGATCTCCAGTGCGAACTGCAAGCGGCCAGAAAGTGTCCTACCTGCACAGTAGAGGGCGCAATAATGTCACACATAAAGAGTGTGGTGAGTGTTTGGCCAACTGCCATAAAGAAGAAGAAGAAGTGCTAAGCGTTTGCGCACATTAAAAACTTTATCATCGTCCGCCATGGTTGTTTTTCTTCCCGCTTTCGCGTATGTGGACGCAGGATAGTGACGTTTATCGAGTATCGATGACTTTCAGGACCTGATCGTTAGGATTCAGGTCACATATGAAACGATCGTATACTTAATAATCTAAATACTCAGCCAGTGGAACTAGTACTTCTTACCAATATTAAGGAAATATTGACTTAATACAAGCTTATGTATCTTGCTGAAAGGTTACTTCTGAGTTGGTTTTGTCTTATTTCAAGTGAATTAAAACATTTGCACTAGAAACTAGGCAAAAATAATCAGTAAGATTTTGTGTTTTTACAGTGTAAAAGTGTTTACTTAGTTATTTGTAAACACTGTTTATTTTAATGACTTACTACAATAAACAGGTTTTTAGATAACTACAGATATTGAATAGGACTATGTTATAGGAAATGCAACTTTCCTTGTAGAATAAAAGTGATCCAAGGGTGATGCCTTGAGGAACTCCACTGAGTATTTTTATACAAATATTTTCCAAATGAAACAAATTAGTCTTAGGCTGCCTATAAAAATATTGTATTTAAGTTAGGGTTAGCGCAGTACAATTTATTGTCCAGATTTAGCTGGACAATAAATTGCCCCAGAAGTATCGCAATAAATAATATTGCTATTTTAGTCAATTTTTGAAGTATGTCTTTATTGGTAATAATGCAAAACACATTCTCAGGGATTAATAAACTTTAAATTCTGAATATTTAACACTTTTAACTGGAAGACATTTTAAATATCCTAAATAAATAAATAAAATAACAGAAATGGCAAATAAAATGAATTAAGTCTCTAATTAACATTATTCTTTAAAAAAAATGTATTGATCTTGTGAGACCAAATCACAAGACTGAATACTTTTGTCATCCAGCAAAAGTAATACAATAAATTACTCAGAAGGAAACTGAGCAAATTTTTAAATATATTATGGAACAAATTGATGTATTGTTTATTGCGATAAGCCTATTACTCACTTTTCAGCCTATCAACCAGTATGTTATAAAAATATCATATTTTACCAATCTGTTGTGATCTGTTTGTTTCGTTCAAATGGTTTCCCACCTTAACTCCTGTTTTTCTGCGGTCCAGAATTGGCACTAAACACCTTTGGTGAATAAAGTACATTCAGGTTGAGCTGTGATTTATGGAGTCCCTCCATTTTCACACACGTCTGGGCTCCACAGAAGTGTGTGTGTGTGTTCGTTTTAGGCCTTCACAGCCTCACCTGAGGGGAATTTGGGGTCTTGTAACTGGACTGTGGGTTTGTGGGGGAAGCCCTGCAGCTCAGCCCCAGTGACTGATGGGAGTAATTGAGTTTGTGGCGGTGCAGGCGCAGAGGTTGGGGGTGTATACTGGCCCCGCAGGATTTCTCTCACCGGGGTCAAAGGAGATGGGAACGGGCCTCACCGAATCTGGGTTGTGGTCCACTCCCTGGCTTGGCACCAATGCTATGCTTCATTAGCTGCAGCTACAGGGTGCAGCTGGGCCGGCAGCCAGAGATGCGAGCTGTTCTGGGTTAGACCGACATAAACAGGACCAGAACCAAATGTGGAAACTCTGCAGGTGGCTGAAATTAAGCTGTATAAAGAGAGCCAAACTGTGGGCAGCTTGTGGTGGTGAGTGGTGTGGATGTGACATGAAATCGTTGTTTTCACATCTGTGTGTTCGTTGGGTAGTAACTAATTACATTTACTTGAGTAAATCTTTGGAAAAAATGTACTTTTAGGAGTATTTTTACAACGCTGCATGTTTTACTTTTACTGACAGGTGGATACAGTCGCCGAAAGATTTACTGAAGTAAAAGTAGCACTACTGCCACATATTTTTACTCAAGTAAAAGTAAAAAGTAGCCAAGAAATTACTCAAGTAAGAATGAAAAAGTATTTCGTAAAAAGTCAACTCAAGTACTGACTAACTGATCAAGTTATCAAGCATTTAATATTTAAAAATGACATCAGCAGACGGACCAAAATATAAAGTTAGGTGGAAAAATTGGCATTTTAAAGACAAAAATTACAATAATTCAAATAAGTAGCAACAAATAACCATGTATTTTTACAAATCAGTTTCTTTCAATAGAAAACTTATAAAAATTGCAGGGGTGTGTCTGTTAAATTTTTGGTTAAAACTTGTTTATTTTTCATTCAGTGGGTAGAAAATCCAAAAATTTTACTGAAGTAAGCGCAGAAACACTTCATAATGAAATTAGTCAAGTAAAATGTTAAGTATAGCATAGTAGAAATACTCCTACAAGTACTTTAAAAAGTTACTCAAGTAAATGTAATTAGTTACTACTGCTTTACTTGAGTAACTTTGGTATGAAGTATTGTTACTCTTGAGTAAAATGTCTGGATTAGGTTAATTGATCGAATAATGCCAACTACGTTAGTAATAAATTAATCGCTAACCAGAGAATACAGACTCAAAACAGACAGAGAACAATTTAGCCAAAACTAAAAAATATATTTATATATTTCTTTTAAATTAAAAACAAAATCAAAAACTTTGTCAGTAAATATGTTTTGCCCAGAACTCCTCAAGTTTTAGCTTCTTCTAGTTCGGATTCACTAAATGAATGCTATCTTACTGCATTTTCGGCAATACATTTATTTCTCATTTTAAAAACAGATTAAATTATAAATTTATTGCATTTATGTTATTGCTTGGTTTAAAAAAATACCTAAATGCTCAGTTAAAGATTAATCGTCAGAATGATTGATTGTTAGATGGGCAGAGACGCTCTCCATCCAATCTGACGGAGCTTCAGCTGTTTTGTAAAAGAGAATAAGCAAAACTTTCCGTTTCTACCTCTGGTAGAGAGAAATGTGAACGCATTAGTCTGAAAAGAGTTGGCTGTGAATCAGGACTGGGTGAAAAAGGCCAAGAAGCCACTAAAGCTTCTGACAGAAGAAAAACAACATGACAGAGAGGATGTAAAACATGTCGTTTTTTTCCCAGGTAGTTTTATTGTGAATGTGCCGTAAACAACAGGAGGGAAAGGGTGAAAGGTGAGGAGAAAGTGGATGAATGAGGCGGTCTTTTTCTGCCCTCTGCTGGACATTTTCAATCAAAGACGCAAACTTTTACGACCTTTCCTGTGGAGACCAGATAATACACGCAAAGACTGCAAACAAAAACATGTTTGGTTTTACCATAGCGTAAACTTTAAGAGTCTTTTATAATAATCTGACCTGTCTGATAGTGGTGAGTTTATTCACAAGCGAGCTGCGATGTGCCATCTTTGTCACGGCGACCTTCGCCCCTCTAAAAGGTCACGTCTGAGAGGTTGTTTACAAGGCAGTCTGGATCCAAGGGATGTGCACAAAGTGGGAGCCCCACGCTTTATTCACAACAGCTGGAGCAGAGGGAGGGGAGGTGCTGGCATTTGGCAGAGAGGGGTGAAAGGTCAAGTCTAACACCAATAAAGTGGAGACTTTGATCGTGGGGTTTATGGATGGAGGAGGCATGGCGCCGTCAGGGAGGAGGGAGTGGAGTTTGACGGGAAAAAAGTATGAAAATATAAAAATTCAATATTTTAAGATTTATATACCTTGAAGAAAAGATCTGAAATACAAACGTATCAGATTAATAAACTCATCTGAGTAGAGCAGTGAAACATTTCTGCTTCATGAAATAAAACTTGGATTTATTCAAATCATCAGAGCTTCTTCGACATTTATCTATATGTCAGACATTATTCATCTTAGGTAGGATTCCCTTTTCAACACTCAATAATGAGGTTATCATTTAGAGATGATTATATCTATTATCTTCTTATTGTAAAACACACAAAATGTCATTATTTTTGCATTATTCTGCATACAATAAATGTCTAAATTTTTCTGAAGCAGCATTTAATGGACCTTTACTGCCACCTACTGGACAAAAACGTTATATTGTTAACAGGTTTCATCACAAGAAAGTGTCTCAATAAAATAAAGCACATTTCTTCTGAAATGAACAAACATAGATGATGTGTTTCTGCACAACACAATTATAAATTAAAATTGTTTATTTTATTAAAATAAATAATTTCTACTCTGTCAGCAGCTTCTTTGAATTAATAAATAAATTAGAAAGAAAGTAAAAGAAGAAAAAATAGATGAAAGATAAAAAAGAAGATAAGAAAAAAGTAAAGAGAGAAATATGTATTTATTTCAAGACAAAATGTAGTCCATATAATTTAAAAATGAAACAAATTATCAAATCATTTGTTGTACACCTTTACAGAAAAGTTGTTTTTAAAAAAAAAAATTCCGATATCGGAAAATAAGTTTCAAAAAATTAAGAAAAAAAGTAAGCGCAAGAAGAAAAAAAAATTTTTTTAAAGCATTAAAAAAAAGTAATAGAAAAATATGACAAAAATTAGTCCGTAATATTAAAAAATAATAATAAAAAAAAGTTAGAAAAAAATTAAAATGTAATAAATTACCACGTAGTTCCAGCTGATGTCCAGCAGAGGTCAGGCTTTGCCCGAACACCAAACCGCAGGTGAATTTCCGCACCTTTCGGGCGAGGAGAGCAGTGATGCATCGTGGTTGTTGTAGTCCTACCCGCCTCTGAGTGACTGAAAACTACAAGCCTGACCATGTGACAATAAAGCCAGTGTGTTTTGTCTTGCGTGCGTTTGCGTGTCTGTCAGAAATTATGCGGAACTCGCAGGCCCTGTCAGCGCTGCAGCTTCCTATTTACTGAAAGGCTGACAGACAGACAGCCTGCACAGGATGACTCCGAGCAGTCACCGGCTTTCGCCATGAAGTGGCTTTCTTTTTTTCATTCCTTGACGCCCCTATAAAAGTTTATTTTTGCTTCAAATGCTTTTTTGAAACTTTCGAGCGATTTTAAAATGAAGTTCAACGGATACCTGAAGCTGCGGATCGGCGAGGCGCTGGACCTCAAACCGACCACCTTCTCAACGCGCCACACCGTCATCTTCAACAAGGCCCCCCAGACGCTGGACCCCTACATAGTGGTGAAGGTGGACGACTACAAGGTGGGGCAGACGCACACCAAGCAGAAGACCAACATGCCCACGTACAACGAGGAGTTCTCCCTCAACGTCAACAACGGCAAGCAGATCGAGCTGGCGGTCTTCCACGACACCCCGATCGGATATGATGACTTTGTGGCCAACTGCACCATCCAGTTCGAGGACATGATCAAAACATCCAACACAGGAGAGACCTTCGAGGGATGGGTGAGTGCAAACATCTGGCAGGCTCAAAGGCTTCCCGTGAGGTCATAAACTGCAATTAAGTTAGCAATAAATGTCATTTAAGTAGGAAAATAATAGGTTCAATTAATCTTTATTATACAGAAATATAAATAAATTAGAGTGGAAAGGATGATACAGTCCAGCCTGGTTGTTTAACAGTTTAAATCAGGAATGATCCATGAAAGAAATTTCAGAAAAGTGTTGAGTTTGCAGTGTTTTTGGTCTAATTTCTAATTCAAATATCCTGCCAACACTTGAAATAGGACAAAACTAACTTACAAATACCTTCAGCAAGACATAAGCTTATTATTTACTTAAAATAAGCTTTAAAAAGTTACCTGAAAATTAATTTAGTTTGCTTATGCATGTGGGGACAGTGGAAAGGAAGAACTCCTTTTCAACTTCCACCAAAACAAGGCTCACACTGAAAAATCATAAAATCTTACCAAGTGTTTTTGCCTAATTTCTGGTGGAAATATATTACTACACTTAAAATAAGACAAAACTAACTTACAAGGAACTTTTTAGCAAACTATAGGAGCATGTTTTAAGTAAATAATTCCTTAATATTGATAAAAAGTGCAGATTATTTCACTTATAGCAAGACATTTTTCATGTTATAATTGAAATAATATGAAAGCGTTAATACTTTTTTTATATATATTAAAAAGTATTAAGATTTAGGAGGTAGAGATAATCATACATATGGAAATTATTGAGCTCATTTTAATTTCTTGTTTGATTAATTGATTTATTCATACATTTAAAAAAAAAACAACCCTCAATCCAAAGGAAGTCTGATTAAACAAATTTTTCATCACTTTCGGGGTTTTTCTGGTTTTGTCTTCCCGTCTATGGAAACTTTACCTCATTTTGACTTTCTTTGACCTGTAACATGTTTGTCCCCACAAACTTTAATACTGACAAACTCTTAAAGACTTGTAATGTGAAACACCTAAATCTATCTAGACTCAGAACACTGCAAAAACAAAATCCTACCAAGTATTTTCGGTCTAGTTTCTAGTGCAAATATTTCAGTTTTGCTTTATTTTGAAAGTACTAACTTATAAGTAACTTTTCAGCAAGAAATAGGAAATGGTTTTTAGTAAATAATTCCTTAATATTGATTGATTAACAAGTACTAGTTTCAGTGGCAGATTATTTCAATTATAAACAGACATTTTTCCCATATTTTCAGTGAAATAGTCTCCCAATTAAATTAGTACATCTGAATCAATATTAAGCAATTATTATTATTATTATTTTAAGTGAGTTTCTTTATCTTTCAAAAAGTTTAAAAAATTATAGTAAGTTAGTTTTGTCTTATTTCAACTGAGATATTTGCACTAGAAACTAGACCAAAATATTTGATGAGATTTGTGTTTTTGCAGTGCAAATTTGAGACAAACTCCTGATTGGAGCGGTTAATGAGTCCCTGACATCAGATGCTCGTCTACTAATCAGACCAAGACAGACAAGTTCACAGACTAAATGACCTTGAACTAGTTTGGTTGATAATAATCAGCTGCTAGCTGCTATTGCTTGTGCAGCAAAGCTTAGCATAGCTTTTTTCCTCCATTGCATGTTTTGAGATTTTTTGCCTGAGAAATGCAAACCAACTTCTGCTAAAAGTTCACGTTTAAGAAAAATGCATCAGTTCCCTGTTTTCAGTGTTTTTCACATAGATTTTACGCTAAATGAGTAACAAACAGAGCAACATGTTCATCTAAGTGTACTGAGTACAAAACTCGTAGTGGTGCTTAAACTGGACATAAAAAAGGCATGTTTTTGTTATATTTGGTGTTTTTAGGAAGAATTAAGGAAATCTCAGTCAGATCAGTCAGAGAGAGTATTGCATCGGTGCTAATATTGTGGAATATTGCAGTGACAACATCGGCTGTCATTCAGAGTTTCTCATCATTCTGATGCGTCCAACAGTCTCTGTGACCTTTAGTGTTTTCCTGACTCTCCACATGCAACAGCCAACAAATGATGCGTTCCACGCAAGTTTTGCTGTAGACACATTGCATGTGCACCACACTGGAGAGCAGAAGAAACTTCTATTTTACATGCTGTCCGTAGCTGCACTAGAACGATACCGATAGCAAAATGAAACCTGGAGATTAGGTCTTATCAATGTAGTGCAGAGCGCCAGAGAAAAGGGAAAAACAACGTGGAAAAAACCGCGGAAGAACAAAATTCAAGTTTTTTCTTGCTACACACAGACCCATTTTATGTTTCACACATTTAAGACTTGGCACGCCATGTTGATAACAGCTACAACCAGCGGTAGCCATCGTAGGCAAGCAGCTTTTTACCCTCCATCAGGAAACTGGGGCCTGGATCTTGGTGTTGAGGTTGAACACTGATATTAGAATGATGTTATTTTTCCTATACATTGTGCAAAAAAACCCAAAAAAAACTGAAGCTGCAGAAACACAAACATTTACTGCTAAGATAATGCTTTAAGTCCAAAATTGTGTGTAATTATTTAATCAGACAGGGTTTGTATGTTCCCCAGCAGAGCAGATCTGAGAGCTTAAAGGATGATCTTTATTCCACGTCCCACTGAGAAACACAACAGGTCCACGTTGTCCCGGCGTCTCTCAGATAAGGACTCATTAACTAACACTTAAACTCCTTACAGGACGCATCTCCTCTTCGTCTCAGGCCATCGCTCAGGCGCCTCGTGTTTCCATTTATTGGCTTACAGGCTTTGACTACTATCGACAGCGAACACAGTGAGAAACTGCACATGATGGCCCATGTGGCGAAACGTTAGCTCTACTTAAGCGTGGCAAAGTGCATCAGCGTGCATGTGGTCCAGGGCTGCGGCAGCCCTCCTCACCCTGAGGCTGCACACAAATCCTTGCTTCTCAGATAAACCAGTTTGGCTAAAAACATCGATGTCAAACTCATTTTTGTTTTGGGCCAAATCAGTATTATGAATGCTCTTAAAGGGCCGGTTGTGCCAGAAAACCTGTTCGGTATCGTAGCTGCGCTAGAACGATACCGCTAGCAAAATGGTATCGTTCACAAACTGTTAAAATATCAATGAGTTATTAAAATGAAATATTATTATTGAATTCATTTCAGTCCCTCCAGGATTTCGTGATACTTTTTGATTTTTTTAATTTATTTTTTGCAATAAAAATCAAAGTGTTTGTGGTAGTAATTTGGAAATATTTGCGCTTATTTATGACGGTGAATGTGACTTTTTATTACTCGCTTTATGGATTATGGACTACAATTTGACATCAATTAAAAAGGCAGCTTTTTAGTGATAAGAAAGTTTTAGCAGTTTTTGAGAAAACTGCAATAAACTCCCAATTAGCAGTAAAAACTGCAACGATTTGGTGATTATGCATGAATTTCCTCAGTAATTGTCAAGAAACTGGAGGGATTGATTGATATCATTTAGTAGTAAAAGGTTAAAAACTGCATTCATTTGATTGATAACATGATATTTAAGCACAGTTGGTGTTTAGTCTAGTATCTAGAGGGCCTCATAAAAAGCTATGGCGGGCCGGATTTGGCCCACAGACCTTGAGTTTGACCCATGTGGCTTAAAACAAAGTATTTCTGAAGATTATTGACATAGATCTGACCAAAACCAACATAACTCTTCAGACTGGGGTTTTCCCGTTAGGTTTTTTCTTTTTTTTAAAGTACTTTCGTCCCTCCAGGACCTGAATCCACTGCAGGAGTGTAAGCTGAACCTGTTCAGGCCTGGGGCAGCTGCACGTTTCTCTCTCTGCAACAGCAAAACTCTCAGGACTGTCTCACACGTACAACATTTAGACATCAATGAAGCGTGTCCAGAAAAGCTGCAGAGCATTTTGCTTTGAGTAGTAAGGTTTAACTGTAAAACCTCAAACCAAAGATTCATTTTTAAAACTTAACCAAATGTTTTTGCTTCTTAAATTGCTGAAAAGATAAAAGCTATCATTTATTATAAATACATGCATTGCAGAAACAATCTAGTTTTTAGTTCACGTCTTGGTACTCTTGAAATAAAACAAAACTATTTTGGAACAAGATATAAGAGCTTGTTTTGAGTAAATAATTCCTAATTATTGGCAAATTACTTGTTTTACGGGCAGATTATTTCACTTATAAGAAGATACTTTTTCCATGTTATGATGAAAATAATCTGCCAGTGGAACTTGTACTTTTTCATTAATTTTCAAGGAATTGGTTACTTAAAACCAGCTGAAAAGTTGCTTGTAAGCTAGTTTTCTTATTTAAAATGTAAGATTTTGTGGGTTTTTTTGTTGTTTTTTTTTAAGTGTTGGGATGAATTTAATGTAGAAATCAGAAATGCATGGTGCTTTTTGCCTCAGCTTTCTGCAGAAAACAACACCTAGCATGCGCTTTGAGGCCCTGCTGGTTGTAAGGAAGTGGTGTGAAACTGGAACTTGGTCTGCAAATGTCTTTCTCACTTAAAGGCCCTGGCTTGAGGTTGCTATCTGCTCGATCTGAACTACGATGGGCTGCGTCTTTTTTTGGTGCTTTGTTATGCAGACGAAGCGCTGGGGCTGGTTCACTTCGAGGTGCAAGCCTTTACACGCCCACTCGGCTGTTTATCACACTTTTTCCCCACTTGCTGATCATTTTCTCAGAGGCTCACAGCCAAGCGCTTGTCTTCTCTGTTGGCTCTTTTCCAGTTTGCCTCCAAACATCGTGTCTATCCCCTGGTCTCCATGCCCACAGTTCTGTTCACACCAGAAAAATACAAAATCTTACCTAATTTCTAATGCAAATATCATAGTACACTTGAAATCAGACAAAGCTAACTCATAAGTAACTTTTCATCAAGATAGCAAGCTTTTTTTAGGAAATTATAATAGATGACCTATTAAGCTTCCTTGAGCCGGTTAGAATTGGTCAATACAAAAACTGTAAATCACAGTTTTTGCACAAAATCATTCTTAGATAATGAGCTTTTATTCTGCTCAGTTCTGACTGTTTTGAGGTGTTTTAGGGCGTCTTGTCACTTTAAATCTAAATATGTTGCTGCTGGCCACGCCCCCAACTCAACATTTACACTCGCATGGGAAAATGGCTGCAAACAGATGCACAATTGTAGAGGCGTATTTCTTCAAAAAGCAATAGTAGAAACTCCAGTAGCGGTAAAACCAGCTGACCAACTGTGCTGGAGCTTTTGCTTGGGTTGCTAGGTAACAGGTGAGCTCGGCAGGGGTTGCTAGGTAACCGCCAGTGGCTGCTGATCTGTAACGTTACTTTCTGGGAAATTTTGAAATGGCTCATTTTCCAGACACCAAAAAAACCTTTACTTTTTGTTCCAAACTGTCTGGATGTTTGTTTTTTTTAAACATTTGCTCAGTTTTGTTTTTTTTAATTGCAAAATGTGAATTTTGAATAATACATCACCTCCAATATTGCTTTTAAAAGGTTTAGCTCTACTTGTGGCAGATTTTTTCATTTATAACCAGTGAAATAATCTGCTAACTGTACTAGCGCTTTTTAATCTATATTAAGGAATTATTTACTCATAAAAGCTGAAATGTTATTTGTAAGTTAGTTTTGTCTTATTTCAAATGAATTAAGATATTTGTTGTAAAAGCTAGACCAAAACTAGTTGGTAATATTTTGTGTTTTTGCAGTGCAGCCTCACGGTTCCCGGCTGTATCACAATTTCTCTGACATTTAGACCAAAAGGCCAGCTTCCTTCGCCTCGCGCCTGCAGATGACTCCACCGCTCTGACTTCCTTAGCTGCTCAACACCTCCGCACTTCACATTGTGTTGCCCCCCCTCTATTGAATCCCCATTAAAGTATTTGCAGGCGCGAGATGAGAAGAAGCGAACAAACTGAAAGTAGGTTAAAAAACGACCCTCAACATTTTCCACCCACCTTCCTCTGTTTTAAAGTTATTTAAAGGTTTCCTCCTCTGTGGTTCAGTTTTACTATAATATCCGCGCTGCAGGCACACAAACTTCAGTTTGGACTTGAGCAGATACAGTTATTGTGTCAGTTTTATTTATTAAATAGAAAAAACTCACAAAACTCATGTGCATAAGCTAGAGATGCTAATAATCTGCTACTAACTGATTGTTATTGACTCAGTGTAATGTTGCATCATTACAAAGAGAATCTGAAAATGTAATTTCTTTATTTTAAATTTTTTTTATAAACATTGTTTTTTGTTCAAAGATATATCATATAGGGCTGAAGCGATTAATCATAATTAATCGATTCTTGAAATAATCGTCAACTAATTTTGTGATCGATTAATTATTAATCAGAATGACTCTAAAGATGTTAGTTATTCTACAAATGATCAATCGTTCACTAAAGAAATGCTTTGTTATTGCACTTCAGTTTCTTTTTTGAAAAAAATAACTTTCACTATGCTGTACTTTTTATTTTATTTGAGTAATTTCATTATGAAGTATTTCTACTCTTGAGTAAAATGTCTGGATTTTCGAGCCACTGAATGAAAAAGAAACTTGTTTTAATCAGAAATTCACCTGATTAACACACAGACTCACACCTGCAGTTTTTGTTGAAGTTTCATGAGTTTTATTTTGAAAGAAGCTAGTTTGGAAATAATTTATTTAGCCTGACTTTATTTTTTGCTACTTATATGAGTTATTGTCATTTTTGTTCTTAAATTACCAAAATTTCCACTTAATTTTATAACTTATTCCGTCTGATGGCGTAATTTTTAAACATGAAATGATTGATAATTCGATCAGTTACATAGCACTTCAACAAACTGTTTTCCAAATACTTTTTTACCCTTTCTTCAGTAAAAATATGTTGAAGTACAGATACTTTTACTTGGTTACTCTGAGTACCTGAGTAATGGGCTGGGGTTGCTAGATAACAGGACAATGTTATATTGTGGAGGTCTTTGTGACAACGTAAAAGACATTAACTAAAAACATACTTGAGTGCAATTTTTGGCTACACTACCTGCCTCTGATGGGCTAATTGGTTTTCACACAGTAGCAGATTAATTTGTTTGTTTAGTCTGGAGGTTTTGCTCCTGAATCAGAGGGAGATAAAAATATAAGCTGCCTTGCTCATTACTCAGGCCAGGGAGCGGTAAACAAAACCAACCCGCCTACCAGACCAGGCTGGGCCCAGAAATCCACCTGCACGGCTGAACTCTGACTGAAAACAGGAGCAGGGATCCTCAAGCTGAAGTGAAAACATGGTTTTATTTAAAGTGAGTCCGCCTGCTGGTTGCTTTCCTGCTCCACATGGCTCTGTTTGTGCCCTGTCAGGTTTTTCCAGGAAGGGTGTATCGAATATAAATAAATCTTACTTCAGTGACCCAAGTTTCCACTCGGTGGTTTCAGCAGGAAGTATCTGTGCCCCCGCCTGCCGGCTTGACAGGCAGTCGGTGTCCATCTTCAAAAGTTTGAATTTCCAGCAAGGGAAATAAGTTGCGACTTGACCAGCCGGACCCGTCGGACCGCCTTTCTGTAAAGCCATCAAATTCTTTCAGTGTTATGTAGACTGAAAGGAATGAAAGCTATGCTCTGGGTAGAGTCGCCAAATATTATTAAACTCAAGTAACAGCACACTAAAAAACAAAATCTTACCAAGTGTTTCTGGTTTGGTTTGAACTTTTCAACATGAGGGCCAAAATTCTTAAGTTGAAAACACAACAATTTTACATTTTTTTTCAATATAAAATTTTTAAAACAAAAGCCTTTGGTGGCTTTTTTAATTTTAGTTGCTCAATAATAAACAGAACAATTTTATCAAAGTTGATCTGTAAATCATTGTAGATAGAAATTATTATTTTATTTTATATAAACTTTAATGTTTGTATTTCTAGTTACTCCAAAATTAAGGTGAATGCAAAAACCTTGTTGACAAATGGTAGTCTTATTTTTTGAAGATGTTATTATTATTTTTTTAATGTGAAAAGTGTTCATCATCTGTACCAACCACTAATGCTTGAAGGTCAGATTTGTTCCCTTTGGGCCACCCAAAATCCTCCAGAGGGACGCAAAAAGCTGCATCCTGAAGCATTAGCATTAGCATTCTGTCTCTGCTACTGTAACTTATTGACTTGTTTTTCTAGAGAACATAAAACCTTTGTTGTAAATGAAATACTTTCTGGTGATAAACTCTTCTGTAGTGGGGACCAAATGTTAATTTTGTTTTTCCGCTTCCTGCTGGAGCGTTCATAAATAACAATGTTGTGTGTTTATGTTTATGCAGATGGACTTGGAACCAGAGGGCAAGGTTTACGTCCTGATTACACTCACCGGATCGTTCACCGACGGTAGGGCGATGACGTTACTTCTTATTTTTGACGCCCCAGCAGACATCTTCTGAATGCATGCGCCGATGTGTGACTCTGTCAGATGTCGGCGAAGTTCCCACAACACTTCAAAGCTTTTGCACACAAACTGAATTGACTTGGTCATCATGAAACATCGGTTGTGTCTGGTGTGGAAGTGGCTTGCTGCCATGATAAAGGAGAAGTTGAGGATGAATGCTGATCTGTTGCACCATGTCTCTTGGCTATTTCATACTAACCAGAACTTCTTCCTCTGTTTTTTGCTGATGCCTTGCTTGGTTTGATTTGGTTCAAAAAAGTATCTAAATTTAAAGTGTCCTAAAAATATCTAATAGACATGTTGCAGGTTTAAAAATAATTTTAGCTCAATAAGCCAAACTTTCTTTCTCACTTCTTCAACCATTTTTGAAGGTCTTTTGTTGTTTTATTCTTGCATTTTTGAATGTTTTTCATGTATTTTCTTACATATTAACGAATTGTGAAGTCTGCACCTTCAAGATTCGAGAAATGGAACTAGGCAAAAGAAAAAGTAGTGTCAGGCTTAAAAAAAAAAGCTGCTTACCGTAAATGAGCACAATCTATTTATGTAAGTTTAATGATGCAAAGACCATGTTTGATGCAATAAAACTTGTGCTTGAAATGTCCGCATCTTCAAAGGGGACCTATTATGCAAAATTAACATTCTGCGCATTTTTATCCATTTAGGTCTCAACTTCTTAAAAAAAAACAATAGAAAGTAATGCAATGCTGCGCTGTTACCTAGCAACTCAGTCCTGTTGCCTTGCAACCCGAACTGAGCTGCAGCATGTTTGGTCAGCTGGCTTTATGCACTGTACAATGGGTGCTGGAAAAGACCTTTTTGTTGTTGTTGACTTACCATCCAGAAACTACTTGCTGTATTTGTGTTGGTTGTGCAGGAGGCTCCACTTCTGCTCTTCAAAGATGTTTTTATGTGCAAGTGTAAACGTTGAGTTAGGCCAGCAGCAACTTATTTGGCTTTAAAGAGTATTTTGAACCTTCAAGTGAATAAAAATACAGAACTGAGCCAATAAAAATCTCATTATTTAAGATGATTTTGTGTAAAAAATGTAATGAACATGTGGGATAAATGATCTAAACTATTTAAGTTAAATAAATCTATCTCAAATAACATGGAAACAATTTTGCTGAGTTTTTCGCAGATATAAAAATGTTTCTTACACGTTTAAGGAAGTTTTTACTTATGCTGAAATTAACACTCTTCAGAGTATCACAGCTTTTATTCGCAGGCCTGAGTGTGGGCTCAGCACGCAAGTTTCCGTAGCTCATGTGGTTTTCTTCTCTCTGCTTTACTTACACAACTCATTGCTCAGTGGAAGAAGTGGAAATATTAAAAGAAACTGTGCAAGTCAAACAAAATTCACACACATTTAAAGTTCATTTCACCAAATGATGGATTTTATTTTTGTTTTTTCTGAATCCCTTTACTATTTGGAACCAGATAAAGATGTTCTGTCCAGGTGGGATCTGATATGTCTTAAAAGCAAAACGTTGGCAATTTACAATCAACTAGTCCACAAGTTGATTGTAAACTGCTGCTGAAGTTATCCAACAATCAAAAATGTTTCATTTTATTAATTTAAACTCTTTAAAATGGAGTTAAAACAGTAAAATTGCTGTTCAGCATTAACACAAAGTTGGATTTGCTTTATAATAACAATGTCTCTTATTTTGAGTTTAAATAGGTCAGTACACCACAAACATTATGTTTCACTGAATCTATAAACAACATTTGCGACTCAGTTCTTCAACCCTGTTTGTGTCTAACATCACCAACACCTAAAAGTTGTTTATCTTCCACTTTCCAGTCCCAAATGTGAGTAGGATGTACTTAAAAAAAACACTACTTAATGTTTAAAACACCAAAAATGAATTGAGGCGGTAATTTTAGGGCACTTGTGTCAAACTCAAGGCCAAATTTTGCCCCCTGTATCTGTTTGTGTGAATCTGCAAAATTCACACGAAATTCACAGAAAATCTACAGATTTATCATTTTACTAAATTTTGTCAAAATTGGGCAAAAACATTGGGTTTAAGTGATGACTGCCTCAGCCTTGATATCAAGTTATATCTGTGAAAAATACAGCGATTAATAAAAAGCCACATTTAGCATCATATATTAGCGCAAATATTGTAAAATGTTCTTTCAAATATTTTCTAAATCTGTGATTTTGATTACAAAATCAACACGAGACAATCATGAAATCTTGGAGAGATTGATCAGTGTGAAAAGATGTTCAGTATAATTTAATTAAAAATGCTGAAACAATTATTTATAGATATTTTAGCAAATCAATGGGTTTTATCAATACATTCTGGCACAACCGGCTCTTTAAGAACATTCAGAAAATGAAAATGAGTTTGACTCCCTGATCACAGATTAACTACCGTAAGTGACAAAAATAATACATTTAATTTCCATTCAATCAACTTTTTGTTAATATTAAAAATGTGCATAAATGAGATGAAAAAGTGACGTACCTGGTCATGACGTGGTGGAATAAATTCCCATTAGACACGCAGAACAAAACTTTATATAAACATTTTGCACTGAAATGTTCAAAATGGTTTATAAATGGTGGAAAAATGTAGAATTTTGCACACAGCCTGTGTTTCATCACTGAGTATGTTGCTAATCTATTTAATGATGCATTAAAAAGAAATTGATCATTTACATTCTGATTATTAGCACTTTTTGATGGACAATCTTGTTTGAAGACTTCAGAATCCATTTTATTTACAGTTTTTGTCGTGCCTGGTTTTATTTCTGTTTTATTTATTGTTATTGGATGTTGTTTTACTTTGGATACTTAAAATATCTTCCAGTTCTGGTGTCCAGTTTATTGGTGTCTCACAGGACGAACCTGCAGTATTTTGCCATTATAAATATAACACTGGAAAATGGTATTAAAACAACAAAATAGTCATTTACACTGACGTACCAGTTACTGTTAAACAAGCAGTTTTAAGTGTAGGATCCAAAAATAATCAAATAATTAAAGCTGCAGCAGCCTCGAACGGCCCTCGCAGCCAAGCGCCGCTCCGGCCTATTGCCACCGCGGGTACGAGCAACCGCCGCCTCACGCCAGCCACCACAGAAGCTCTCACGCAGTTTTCAGCGCCTCCGCCCGCACCGCGGAAGCTGTTGCTCAGTTTAAACTTCTCCAACTCCGGTCCAACAGAGCCTTCTTGCTCAAAAGCGTGGTTTGGATTTGCAACTCCAAAATCCAAGCAAAATGTTGAGCGTAGTCCAGTTCTGTGGCTCCAAAAAGCAGGCAAAATGTTCAGGAAAACTTCGCAGCTCCAGCTGTCGCCGGCTGACTGTTATTACGTAGCGTCGATCTGTTTTCTCATTGATGGAGTACCACTGCCTCCTGCTGGGGCAATACTGGTATTGCACTAGCAGTACCAGTATTTCTCCACAAGGTGCCAGTAGTACTCCATCAACACTGACCCCAGTGTGTTCTTACTTCGCTGTCATAAGTTTTGCTGAATGACTTTGTTTGTATTATTTCTAGCAAAAATGAATGAATGTTTGTACTTTAACCCACAAAATAAACTTATATATATATAAAAAGTTATAATAATGTATATTTAAATAATTAATAACAACATACCTATGGGCTGCTGTTTCTAGGGGGCGCTATAGAGAAATTAGGCCACGCCCACCAAATATTGTGATGGATTCCTGTCGGGGAGTTAATGGGAATCCATCCTTGTGAGTTTGGAGCAGGTGGGCCCAGAAATGTGGAATTGAGAGCCAAACGTATGGCGATGGCGTTACAGGTCACTTCGCCACGCCGCCACGCCCACCTGCTCCATCGTAGCTGGTCGGGGTTGAAATCCTCAACACACCAACATGTCTTCTGTGTCTGGGCACAGTTTCATGTTGATGAGGTCAAAGGGGTGAGATAGCGACCGTTCAGAGTAAAACATGACACTTCCTTTTCTCAGGGGGCGTGGCCTAAGTGATGTCATCATTCGACCATAGGGTATTGTAGGACACCCGATGATGATCAATCACAGAAAGTCTGGTGCCTCTGTGAGTTTCTGTGTAGGAGATATAGCAGTTTATTTTTTTACGGCGAGTAGGTGAACTTTGACCCCTGCTAACCCCCCTTCAGCATTCTCAAAAACTCACCGTTTTGATAACTTTAGATGGGACATGCCTTATGAGCAGACTGACCGAGTTTGAAGCCGATCAATCGAAATCCCTAGGAGGAGTTCGATCAAATAGGAAGGCTGTAAACGGCAAAAATGGGATCAAATTTGAACTTCAATCTAAAATGGCTGACTTCCTCTGGGGTTTAGACCGGCTCCAAGAGACTTTTTTGTAAGTCCTGACATGGTACACACGTGTACAAAGTTTCGTAGTTGTAGGTTAAAAAGCATGGCTTGGGGCTGATCATTTAAAATTTTCTAGGGGGCGCTATAGAGAAATTAGGCCACACCCTGCAAATATTGTGATGGATTCCTGTCGGGGAGTGGATGAAGATCCATCTTTGTGAGTTTGGAGCAGCTGCGCCCAAAAATGTGGAATTGAGAGCCAAACGTATGGCTATGGCGTTACGGGTCACTTCGCCACCCGCCACGCCCAGCTGCTCCATCGAAGCTGGTCGGGGTTGGAATCCTCAACACACCAACATGTTTTCTGTGTCTGGGCACAGTTTCATGTTGATGAGGTCAAAGGGGTCAGATAGCGACAGTTCACAGTAAAACATGACACTTCCTGTTCTCAGGGGGCGTGGCCTAAGTGATGTCATCATTCGACCATATGGTATTGTAGGGCAGCGGATGATGATCAATCACAGTAACTTTGGTGCCTCTGTGAGTTTCTTTCTAGGAGATATAGCAGTTTATTTATTTACGGCGAGTAGGTGAACTTTGACCCCTGCTAACCCCCCTTCAGCATACTCAAAAACTCACCGTTTTGATAACTTTAG